TTTTCTGCAATCAGTAAGATTATCATGAACTTCCCTTTTTTTTTTTTTCTCCAGCTCTGTAATCTGCTATTTCTCTATGAAATTCTTGATCTTTTCAGTGGAGGATAGCATTTATAAATCAGGATCTGGAAACTTACTTTTTGTATATTTATAGCCCCTCATGAGTCAGAGCTAGAAAAACAAGTGTTTATGTTCATTATTAGTGCTCATCTAATCTTCAACTTTCTCTGCATTTCTACAGTTCTGCATTCTGAGTTTATATGATACACTTCTAGTACTAGTCTACAGGCTGTTCTTTTACTGTTTTGCTTCCATGTCTATTAATCCTCCTGCTTACTTGCTAGATTTTTTTTGTTTGTTTTGGTTTTGGTTTTGGTTTTTCAAGACAGGCTTCTCTGTGTAACAGCCCTGCCTGTCCTGGAACTCTCTTCATAGACCAGGCTGCCCTCTGCTTCCTGAATACTAGGATTAGAGGTGTGCAGCACTATGCTGGCTTATTTCCTGGATTTAACCATTCTGTCATTCTAGTATAGCAGTGTCAGCCAGGTCTTTTGCCTTTCATCTAAGTAAAGAGTATCCAGAGTGTGATTCTCTCTGCAGATACCCAGTTTTCTTGGTTGCTACTGTGAACATTGGTGACATACTTCTGCATGGTAATGGGCTCTTCAAATTTTTCAATGTGTAGCCCAGATTCTGTAGAGACTCTTATCTACTGATTTAGGCAAACAGGACAATGTTCTTTCTTTAAGCTTGGTCAGTTACCACACTGACTTAGCTATGTACACCCCAAGAGCACATAAATTTCCTAAACCTAAATAACAAACCCATTTTGATAATTTTAGACTTCATATTTTTGAGGGTAAGAAGAGGAATAACCTATAGTATCTATGCTGTAAGTTAGTTATATAAAGTCTTTCTTACCCCCGAGTACCTTCAAGAGAAGTGATCTATATATCTTGTTAGCATTGGGTGTGTTTGGGGGGAAAACTTCTAAGATAACAATATTGTCAGTGTGTTTATATATTTACTATACAGATGTTGTGATTGATTATTTGTATGGTTGCAGAAAATTAAAGTTTAAACATAAGGATCACAGATTTTTAAATTTTATTTTATGTATACTAGTGCTTTGCCTGCATGTATATATGTGCATTGCGTATGTGCTGTGACTACAGAGGTCAGAAAAGAGCATTGGATCGCCTGAACTGGAGGAAGAGATGGTTATGAGCTACGATATGGGTGCCAGGAACCAAACCCAAGTCCTCTGCAACAAGTGCTCTTAACCACTGAGTAATCTCTCCAGCCCCACAATTGCTTTTATATCTAACTGAGTATTTTTCTTTTTATGTATGTTCTGTTTACCTACTTTTAGAAAAGGGAACAGACCAGGGCTACAATGGTAGCACAGTTGGTAAAATATTCACCTCACAATCAAGAAGACCTTCAGTTTACTCCTCAGAACCCACATTTATAAAACAAAGCATTGCCTACTTGGCAAGTCCCAGGCCAATGAGACTGTCTCAAAATGATAAAGACACGTGCTTTAAAGGTTGTACTGTGGCCTCAACATACAAACACCAAAAAATAATTTTTTTTAATCTGTAAGGTCTAATAAGTTAACACTGGTTCAGAAACTCAGTAAGGTGTGTGTGTGTGTGTGTGTGTGTGTGTGTGTGTTTGTGTTATTCCTGTAGACAGAAGAGTTTGAGGTGGATTAAATATGGAAGAAAGCTTGCTTGCTTGCTTCTTTATTTCTGTTTGTTTTCTTTGCCTTGGACAGTCATTACATGCCCTATTGTAGCAGAAGTAACAGTAATTGTTATGTCAGTACATTTCCTAGGTACTATGATGATGAAATGCCATTGGAAACAAGCATATCTGAGCAGATATCTTAATTTTAAGCCTCTGGCTACTACCGAGTTACAATCTAAAGACTGTATTCTTCCACCAGTAGGCTTTTAAGGTGGCCACAAAGGAGAGTAATTTGAAGTACTACTTGACTCCTTGAAGTTTTATCTTTTTCTTTTCTTTCCTTGGATTTTTAGGCAACACCTGAGCGTCTCATCATGCATTTGATAGAAGAACATTCTATTGTGGACCCAACATACATAGAAGATTTCCTATTAACTTATAGAACATTTCTTGAAAGTCCTTTGGATGTTGGGATCAAGCTTTTGGAATGGTTTAAGATTGACAGCTTAAGGGATAAGGTTGGTTCGTAAATATGAAAAGCATCGACTTAACTTTAACTTGTAGATTTTATCAACATACACTTTTACACTTAATAGATCAAGTGGGGTTTTTGTTGTTGTTTTTTAATGAAAAAAATAAGGTCACCTAAATAACTTAGTGAGTCAGTGCAGACATGTCTAGTCATTTTCCTAATAAAATAACCTTGGTGATGTGAATAAAAATACAGAAATCAGAAACTGAAGTAAGACCATTACAGCTGGCTATAAACTTGGGAACCATGGTAGTAGTTTGTACAGATAAATAAAGCATAAGGGTGTTTAGTTTTAATTAATACTCTACAAATGAACTTTTTGAGAAGATAGATCTTAGGATAAGACCATCTAAGCTTTTCTGAGTTACAGATTCTATAATCTGAAATGTTTGTCAGCATCTAGTTTCTTTCCTGTAGTGTATTTTAATCTGTCTTTGGGTTTGTTTGATTTTGTTGTTGTTGTTGTTGTGTTGTTTTGTTTTTTTTTTTAACTAAAGAGCAAACAATAGTTTGCTTTTTTCAATTAATAATTTTAGCTTATTTCATGGGATGTCTGTACAATTAATGGAAAGACACCTCATCATATTGGTTGGAAATAAATTGTTTTCAGAAAGTAGTAAAAGTAGGGTCATATTTTCCTGGTATGCCTTTCTGAATTACATTGTAAAGATAAATTATATGTGGGCAAATTATAAATTTTATTTTTCGAAGGCATCCAAAATTGTAGCCTTTCCCTTCCACCACTACCACCCATGTTTTAGAATTAGATGCAAATACTTCAGCCCTGAAGAAAATAAAGAAGTGCTTAGGAAATGAACCAAAACATAATTTAGAAATAGTTAGATATATTTATGAAAAAGCTGGACCCTTTCATACACTTAGACTAATGACGTTAGTTCTGCAGATGGATAACCAAAAATTCATTCAAAAGAGATCAGAGACCTAAGTATAGGAACAACATTAGTAGCTATATGAGGAGGCACATGCCTGGAGTTCCACCACCCAACTGATGTAAGACCATTGCTGCAAATTTGAGGCTAGCAGAATGGCTCGGTAGATATTGATACTTGCTGCAGAATCATAACAACCTGGAGACCTGAGTTCAAACTTCAAAACACACATACAGGTGAAAGGAGAAAACCAGCTCTATAATGTTTTTCTCTGACTTTAATACACACCATAGCACATGTACCTCACACATGTATCATGAACATATACACTAGTAATAAGCGAAAACAATTTAAGAACTAAAACTACATTGTGCTTAGACTAATTGGCTTTAGTTCTACAGATGGATACCCAAAGCATAAAAGAGAAAAGACAGATAAGCAGAACTTCCAATATTAAAATATTTTTCTGTATCAAAAAGTACTATCAAGATGCACAAGATAGAGACTTGGGAGATGGCCCAGTGATGAAAACACTTTGCTTGTTAAGGCTGAGAACAGGAGTTTGATCCCCAGAAACCAAGTAAATGCCAGGTGGCCATGGCAACTAGCCTATAATTCCAGCCTCAGAAGGTAGAGTTGGGGCTTCCCCAGTGTAAGCTGACCTGCAAGACTGGACATATCAGCAAGTTATGGGTTTGATTGAAAGACTCTGACTCAGTGAATAAGGTAGAAAAATGATGGAAGATAATTTCCAACATCAACCTCAGACATGCACATGTATACTCCACACACATATATGAAAATGGACAAAGCAAAACATTCCATAAAACAACATATAGATTTGCAGATCATAAATGTGATAAAGATTTATTAACCAGAATAAAGAACTCTTAAAAACTGAAGGATAGAAAGACAAGCAACATGACTGAAAAATGAACAAATGACTGGAAAATAAGAAAACAAGTTTGCAAGCAAAAACTTAGACACAAATACTCATAGCACTATTAATAATTGTCAAAAGGTGGGAGCAACCCAAAATTTATCGGGGATAACCATGTATGGCAGTAAAATAAATATGCCTAAAAATGAAGTGCTAAGTGAAAGAAAACAGTCATAAACAGCTGCCTGTTACACGAGTCAGTGCCTATGAAATATCTGATGTAGGAAAAATCCACGGAGACAGAAGTCAAGATCAGTGCTAACTTTCAGTGGCAAAAGGGTTCAGAGTGAGAACACATTCCTTAATGAATATGGATTCTTCTTTTGAGGTTATAAATCAGTGGTTCTCCACCTTCCTAATGCTGCATCTTTTTAATACAGTTCCTCACATTGTGGTTACCATAAAATTATTTTTGTTACTTACCATAACTGTAACTTTGAATCATAATATAAATGTTTCTGGACATAAAGGTTTGCTAAAGGGGTCATGACCCACAGGTTGAAAACAGCTATGATAAAGAATGAACTTCATGTAATAACTATGTGACATTGTTAGATATACTAAATGCCACTGAAGTGTGTGCTTTAGACTGCTTAAAATGGTGATATTATGGGTATCCTGTCACAAATTTTGGAGTGTGAGTCATTAATGACTTTATTAGACACAGTATTCAAATCCACTTATATTTATTAGTTTTATGTGGGAGTGGGTACTTGTGTGTATGGAGGACCACATGCCCATGAAGATGTGGAGGCTAGCATCCTTTTTACCCGCTACATTATTGATACAAGATCTTAAACTGGACTGGAGACATCCATTGGCTGGCCATCAAGTTCCCAAGATTATCCTGTCTCCACCTCCTGGCACCGGACCTACAGGTGTGTGCCACCACACCTGATTTGTAGTGCTAAGGACCTGAATTCAGATCCTTATGCTGTCATAGTGGTCACTTTATACACTGAGCCCTCTCTCTAACCCCACATTTCTTAGTTCACTTTGTTCTACAGCTTAAGTTAAAAATTAACTCAGCATGTTACAAATTTGACGTGTAGTGAAGTTTTAGATTTGTTTTTCTTCAGTGTTTTGGTCAGATGCATTTTAAACTGTAGGAACACTTTTAATGATGTATTTTGATTGAAATTACTGTCTGCACTTAGGGCAGACAGAGGCTTGTGTTTAAGACACTATGAAATACATATCCCAGTCTATGTCTTCTCGCTGAACCAGAGAAAACATATGCTGAAATTAAATTGTGCCTCTGTTAGAATAAGCCTTTTGTGTATAGGAAACTCAGCCAAGCAGAGGAATGCCTCATAACTGTGTGCTTTCTCTTGTTTCCACAGGTGACCCGGATTGTACTCTTGTGGGTAAATAATCATTTTAATGATTTTGAAGGTGATCCTGCTATGACTCGATTTCTAGAAGAATTTGAAAAAAATCTAGAAGATACAGTAAGGCTCAAAAGAATTTATTGTTTTTATAATTCAGGGTTGTCCCTACTTCCTCAGCAAGAACAGCAATTCAGAACAGTTTTCATTGTCTCACATGTCTGTTGCAGGATGACAAGTCCTCACCAAAATAAAAAGCCATGTTCCTTCCATGCTTCCTTTTGTTTTGGAACTAGCCTCTTGTTAGAATGTGTACTAAGCTTTATGCCTTAAATCTCAGTAGGAAAGTGTTAATCTCCAATTTGGGGAGATTATGTGAAGAATGTGAGGTAACCCTTAAAACTGCCACAGAGAAACTACTCAGAAGCATAGTTTCTGGAGCGTAAGCAGGTTGAGTTGAACACAAAAAGAAGAAAGTATCAGCTTTGGTCCCTTTTTACCCCTCAGTTCCTGTAGACTTTGCTGCAGCATATCTGCTCTGTGCAGAATGAGGAAGCATGAAACAGAGATTGGGGAACTTGACTGATGGACCATTGAGGCACACCAACATCATTTATCTCTTGCAGTGCCAGAGTGTAGCTATTTAAGAGACATTGGAAGGTGAGATTGAGTTATGGATTTGCTCCCACCCCCAACAAATAATCAAATATTTATTGAAATCTCCCACTCAAAGCTATTACGTACAAGTGTAAATTTTGATAACTGCCCTAGAGGAAAAGAAATCTTTATCGTTTTATTAGAGCCACATCATGTTCACAAGCATTTGTTATATTACCTTTTTGAGAATCATTAAATATTAAACTAGGGATAGAACTTCAAATTAGAATTTATTGAGTTTACAAAAGAATTAAAATTTTTTGAAGATACGGAAAACTTGAATGTGTCTGAATATTACACAATAGTAAGTCATTCTAATTTTTTAATAAAATTTTAGAAGAGTCTGCTTTGATTTTGCATACCAGGAGGTATGCAAGATAATACAGTAAGAATTCAGAAGATTCAGGAATAGCTTTCATTATTTAAAAGTCTTTTATTACCCTGTTAAGAAGTTTTGTTGAGTGCCCTGGGATGGAAGTCTCCTTCCCAGTTTTGTTTACCTAGCTCACATGGTCTGTAGTTTGTGTGGTTTTTTAGTTCTAGTCCTAATCATTGTAGACTATTTTACAACCTGTAAGAATAGGTACATTTTAATCTTTTCTGCTTCACAGAAAATGAATGGTCACCTTAGGCTCTTGAATATTGCCTGTGCTGCAAAGGCTAAGTGGAGGCAAGTAGTGCTGCAGAAGGCATCCCGAGAGTCCCCGCTGCACTTCAGCCTTAATGGAGGCAGTGAGAAGGGATTTGGGGTCTTTGTAGAAGGAGTAGAACCTGGTAGCAAGGCTGCTGATGCAGGACTGAAACGGGGTGATCAGGTAAGTATTTAATCCCACACTTTTATAAATACTATGTTACTTTTTGTCTCTTTTCTTTGGGGGAGGGGTTAGTTTTGAGATGGAGAGAGAGAGAGAGAGAGAGAGAGTGTGTGTGTGTGTGTGTGTGTGTGTGTCTGCATTTTTCTTTTTTTCCTTGACAGCTTCAGTGGCCTTGAGCTTACCAAGTTGCCTAGGGTAGCTGCTCAGCAAGCTTCAGGGATCCACCTGTCTCTACCTTCCCAAACACCAGGAAATCAGGTCCTTGCTTTTCCATCCAGCTATTTCCCCAGTCCTAGTATAAATACTTAAATAAGGTTTATTTTCAAAATATTTATCATTTATTCATTACTTTTGATGGAAGTTTTCTTTATCGTATGGTTGAAAACCATGTATTCTACAAGGCTCAATCAGTATAACCACCTTTGAATGGCCCTTCCTATTTCCCAAGGATTAGGAAACTTAACCCTGGCAACTACAGAATATTGCAGAAAGATATGCATGAACTAGCACCCTTGCAAGTTTGATGGAATAGATGCTCGATAGTACTTTCAAATGTAAGTGCCTGAAGATTAAGTGATGGCATCAAATTAACTAATGTTCATAGCTACATTTAATAAGCAAAGTAAACTAGGTGAAAAACCAAGAAAAATTGAAACATGAGAGGAATTGGGGTTTTTTGTTTTCTAATTTGGTTTTTGTTGTTGTTTTGCTGTTTGGTTTTTAGACCAGATCTTACTTTGTAACACTGTCCTTGAATTCAGTATGTAATAGACAAACCTGCCCTTTAACTCAGAGATCCTCTGCCTCCCAGGTGCTGAGATTAAAAAAAAAGGTCTGGGGACTTGTTGCGATTTTTTTTTTTTTTTTTTAATACTAGAGATCAGACCATGACTTTCTAATGTGAGACCAGTGCTTTACCACCAACTTTCATCCTTGCCCCAGTAATCTATACTTTTTAAAGAGCTCTATAGATGATTCTCATATACACCAGAGTTGTTTTCTTTCTATTCACATACAAAATGACCATCATTTGGCAGTGTCTAAAAATAGACATGTGAACACATTTTTGTTGTGGTTGTTAGAGTTTGTTGTTGTTATTGTTTGGTTTGGTTTATTGACATTATGCCATAGGGGTGCTGTCATAGGGCCCCACTCATGCTAGGTGAGCACTGTATTCTACTACAATATATTTTCAGCCCTTAAAATATTGTTTGGGTATCAAAACCTAAGGACTGTTGCTGGTGCATAGTGAATAGAGGTCACTAAACATCCTACAGTGCCCAGACTGTCAGAAGCTGGTGGGTACAGTAGGATGTGGTGATGCAAAGACAGGCAAATTGCTCAGTTCCAGGCCCGCTAGAGCTACCTACACAGTGAGACCCTGTCAAAAAATAGTAATAATAAAATACTAGTAATCCTTTGATTTTTTTTGTAAGGAAATTTTTTAATATCACCATTTCTTCAGTCTATTCATTAAAAATATCTAACAGCCAGTGTTTTAGAATTAGTATTATCATTATGGTTTTTCGAGTATTTTATTATAAAACATTTTAAAATATTATTTCTCACATCAGGTGGGAGGCAGTGGAATAAAAAAACTACATTTTTAACAATGAAATTTATTATGGTTTTCCTTCTTCCATCCTTCCTCCCACACTCATGTCCACTGTATCTAGATCATGTGTCCCTATTACTACTCATTTTCCAGACTGTATATATTTGTATGTATATATATTTGAAAGTGTTTTTGTTTAGTGTGGTATAAAGCTCTGTGGTAACAGTGATTTTACATTGAAGTTGCAGAAAAATATCACATTATCATATTGTTGCCTAATAGAAGTAAAAAGCAAGCCCTTTTATACTACTGATTCCTGTACACACACATCTTTATTCTCTGTCCTTGACATTCAAGTTGTTGAGAGTTGTTAATATGTAGATCTCTTCATATTGCATATTAAATACATACTACATACTGTAGATCTCTTTGCCATTGCATGTTGGTATGTATGCATGGGTCATTTGTTTTGTTTCGTTTCGTTTTATTTTATTTTTGAGACAGAGTCTCACTATGTAACCCTGACTGACCTGGAACTCGCTCTGTAGACCAGGCTGGCCTCAGACTCAGGGATCCAAATGCCTCTGCCTCCTGACCATTGGAAGTATAGGTCTATAGCATCACATTGGGCCTGAAATGTCTTTTTAAAATTCTGGATTTTGCTTCTGTTGTTTTTTTCTTTTTCCTAATATGTTGTTTGTGTCCTCTTCCTCTTTGGAAATGTTTATGTCAGTTTACTGCTTAATTGTTTGTTTGCTGATGAATTTTTGTTCATCAGATTTTTTTAAATTCAATTTTATTTATATATTTATTTTTACAATTTATTCACTTTGTATCCCTGCTGCAGCCCCTCCCTCATCTCCTCCCAGCCCCACCCACCCTTCCCCTTCTACCCCTATGCCCCTCCCCTAGTCCCCTGATGGGGAGGACCTCCTACCCTTCTGTCTGACCCTAGCTTATCAGGTCTCATAAACACTGGCTGCATCATCATCACATCATCATCATCTGTGGCCTCACAAGGCTGCACCTTCAGGGGAGATGATCAAAGTACCAGCCACTGAGTTCATGTCAGAGACAGCCCCTGTACCCCTTACTAGGGAGCCCACTTGGAGACTGAGCAGCCTATGGGCTTCCTTTGAACAGGAGGTCTATGTCCCTTCCATGCATGGTCTTTGGTTGGAGTTTCTGTCCTTGCAAGCCTCTGGACCCCACCATTCAATAAGGACATTTGCTCAGCTATGTTCATAGCAGCTTTATTTCTAATAGCCAGCATCTGGAAACAACCCCAATGTCCCTCAATGGAGAAATGGATACAAAAAGTGTGGTATATTTACACACTGGAATACTACTCAGCAATTAAACACAAGGACATCATGAAATTTGTAGGCAAATGGTGGGAACTAGAAAAGATCATCCTGGGTGAGGTAACCCAGAAGCAGAAAGACACACACAATATATACTCACTTATAAGTGGATATTAGACATATAATATAGGATAAACATACTAAAATCTGTACACCTAAAGAAGCAAGGAGGAGGACCCTAGGGAAGATGCTTAGTCCTCATTCAGAAGGGCAAACAGATGGACATCAGAAGTAGGAAAGTCATGGAACAGGACAGGAGCCTTCCACAGAGGCCCTCTGAAAGACTCTACTCATGAGGGTATTGAAGAAGATACTGAGACTCATAGCCAATCTTTGGCCAGAATGCAGGAATCTTTATGGTAGAAGAGGGAGATAGGAAGACCTAGAGGAGACAGTGTCTCCACAAGGAGAACAACAGAGCCAAAATATTTGTTCAATAGATTTTTATCTTTTTCTTTTCCCTTGGGATTTGCTTCCCCACCCCCAATCCCATAAGCTTTTAATGTGGTAGTGGGGTACAACCAAGGAAAATAAAAACTGTCACAGTAATGCTGCTTTTGGTGGGCTGGCAGGTTCTTTTATTAATTTTTAAAAAAAGATAGTAAATATATTTAGAGTTGTGATTTCCACCTCCTTGTCTTAAGACAGAGCCTGAATTTATAGCCCTGAATTTTTGATCCTTCTGCCTTAGTATTGGGATTACAGGCATGCATGGTTACATTGAGCATTAGCATGAACTATTTTACCTTGAAATATACTAAATTTTCCTTTAGACTATTTGACTAAAATCTGTATATGTATACGTATATAAGTAGTATTTTCTTCTAGCTTACTAGACATAATTAAAATTTTTCTTATAAACTGTCATATGTATTGTTTATTATGTTTTGTGTGTGTGTGATCTTGTTCACATACATAGGCTATGATCCATGTGTGGACGGCCAAGAAGTCCGTTCTCTCCTTTCACTGTGTGGGTTCTGAGGATCAAATTCTGTTGTTGTTTGTTTTTGTTTTTTTCAAGACAGGATTTCTCTGTGTAGACCTCGCCATCCTAGACTTGGTAGAACAGGCTGAACTCACAGCAATCCGCCTGCCTCTGTATCTTCTGAGTACTGGGATCACAGGCATGCACCTCCACACCCAGCTGGGGATCAAATTCTGGCTTGTTGGCAAGCACCCTAGCCACCGAACCATCTCTCCAGTATCCATCTTAGCAGCCCCCCTTTTTAGGTTTATTTTATGTGTATGAGTGTTTTGCCTAAATGTCTTTGCATGGTATGCCTGCCTGATGCCAGCAGAAGCCAGAAGAAAGTGTTGGATCACCTAGATCGATTGGAATTATGGATGGTTGTGAGGCACCATGGGAGCGGAAACTGAACCTGCATCAATTGCCAGAGCAGTTATTGCTCTTAACTACTGAGCCATTTCATTTGGGAACACAAAGAAAATGACCTTTTAAAATACATAAAATGGAAGATTTGGAAATTATGCAGTACAGGGGAAAAATAATAGTCTTTCTAAAACAATAGGCATTGGTCACATATGGTGTGATTTATTCCAGTTCTGTTTGGTTTTTCTACTATTAAACTTTTAAGATCGTAAATGTGACTAATACTATTTCTCTCTTAATTTGTATTTTTAAAATATCTTCAAGATAATGGAAGTCAATGGGCAAAACTTTGAGAATATTACATTTGTTAAAGCTCTTGAAATTTTGAAGAATAATACTCACCTTGCACTTACTGTGAAGACCAACATTTTTGGTAAGTTTTGTTGTAAGCCACTGAGGTGAGGTTTTACTTTATTTTGTGTAAATAGAAAAGCTAAGTCGATTCAGTAATGTAGAAAATAGTAAAACAAATTTTATTATGTAAGATGCTATTATTAGGATTTTATAGTCTATCATTTTTACATAATCTAAATTTCATACAAATAGAGTTAGAACCTCAGTCCTGTATAAAGTATCTATTGAGCTCCTATTGTATATTATACAATGCAGAGTACAATATTAATACTTGAATGACTTTAATAAAACTTGGAAGTCAGCTGGTCATGGTAGAACACACCTTAATTTCAACACTTAGGTAGGCAGAGGCAGGTGTATCTCTGAGTTCACTCACTTCTACAAAGCAAGTACAAGACAGCCAAGTCTACACAGAGAAACCCTGTCTCAAAAAAACAAAAAACTTAGAAATCATAAGCATGCTTTTTTTTTTCCTACTTTTTTTTCTGATAGGTACAGAGCTAGCTTTCTGCAATAACTCAAATGCCATATTAGTTATTTCAGCAAATTAATTCAAGGAAGCATTGAAATCTATGAATGAGATTTTTAAATTGTGTTATTCCTTTCTGTGTAGAAACGTTGATAATAGTTGCACTTTGTTCCTGAAATCCGTGGCATAAGGGCTGTGCTCAGGTCCTCACACATGCTCCTCAGTTGTCCTTTAGCTGAGCTACATTTTCAGCCCTGCATTGTTTTCTTTTTCATATTTATATTGGAATAAAACATATCTTAAGCTTGTGCTTTTTACCACATGTACTGTTAAGTTTTTTGTAATTTTATGAAAGGTTTAATATCATTTGTTTCATACTCCATGAAAAAGATACCAATATATCCAGAAAAGCAATTAAAAACCAAAGACTACTTGGGAGTTTTTATAAGACAGAGGAAGACAATGCTTTTATGTTGAGTAGATTACAACCAGAATAACAGTAGAATCCTAATAGTATGCCTTCAGGAAGAAAATGGGTGCTGGGGGCTTCAGAGGGTTTGATTGGTTTGTTTGGTTTGGTTTTGGTTTCACCTTTTTCTTGTCTTTATACTGTGTTCAGTCATAGAGAAAAATGAAGCATTTTGTGTCTTTCTTTTCACTTAAATACCTTGAATACCTCATGTTAACTTGTTGGTGGACAGTTTTTCAGCATTTTTGTATGTTAGCTTTGAATAAAGAAGCCTTTCAGAGTGTTTCCTTACTGGGGTTTATCTACTAATGCCACCTTTTAGGTTAAGTTAAAGAATTCCAGTGTTTAAAAATAATAGTGAAAGCAGTGTTTACTCTATCACCTTGAGCCAATTATTAAGTTTCTCCCAAGCATTGTATCAGGTGTTTCTATAGAATTCTTACAGATCTAATTCCAGAGAGGTTCTTTGCACTGTCACAAAAATGATTACTAACCAATAGCAAATATTAGGAATATGCCCCCTGGGGTAAAAGGAAAAGTTTGTGGCTATGAAAACAGGGAAGCCATAACCTAAGAGCCTTTGCATATTAAGAATGCTATTAGCCTGCCAGGGTGCTACATTAGTTGTGGCCAAGGATAGGGAGCTACAAGATACTGCAAAAAAAAGTGGGGGAGCTTAGGAAGGACAAAACATTTCCAGCCCATACCTCCTTTCTTACTCAAGGTAGATTTCAGTCAGCCAAGCAGAACACCAAAGCCTACCTCAAACATCTATAGAACATTCTTGGAAATTAAGCACTGGCACTATCATAAAGTCAGGTCAGACATCAACTGTAAGGAAAAGTAGAAGATGGGCTTATGCAGAAGTAACGTAACCAATAAGAAATCTTTTTTAGGCTGTGAAGAAGAAAAGTCAATTCAAGGAAGGGGCAGAAAACCTCTGTAGTGATTTAAAACCATCTCTTGAAACAAAAACAGAAAATCAGGAAAGAAAAAGTCATGAGAAAGAAACAACTCTTAGGGACAATCACAGTTTGTAGTCCAGTGCTTGCTAGAGACCAGAACCCTCCAGCAGCACCTTTTAGAATTTGAGCTCTCAAAGACTATCTCTAAAATAGATAGACCTGAACTAAGCTTCCCTTCAGACACACACACACACACACACACACACACACACACACACACACACACACA